CCTCAGAAACTTTCCCAGCAGGTGTCCCGACCGGCCTCAGGGCCTCACGCTGCTGGTGAGAACTGCCAGAGGAAATGAAACTCACCTGGCTCCTTAGTGCCCAGGCTTTCAAAATTCCCTCTTCCTCCAAAGTGGAGGTTTCCATGTCTGTGGCTTGGGCTTATACTACACTTCCAGAGTGAAAGCAGTTTCACACTCATGGGTGAATTTTTTTAGTCTCTTAAAGCATGAACATCTTCATTAATACCTGACAGAAGAATGTGCAAACACCAAAAGAATGAGAAAGTACTTTAAGAAAATGAAGACTTTAAAGAAATTGACCTTTTGGAAAGAATCTCAGGAAACCAAGAAAAACTTCCTTTAGAGTACATGCTGGAAGAAATTTTGAAGCGCCCTGGAAAATGACAAATGTTTCCTGTATCTAGGACATTGAAGTTCTGGAGGGAATAGGAGGGGAGCGGAGGGGGGAAAACACACCTACCAGTGGATGGAGCTATCGAGAGCTTCACCAGTTCCTTTAAATTACAGTTTTGTTTTTTTTTAAATTTATTCATTTAGGCACACAGAACTGGGGTATAGGCCAGAGGTGCAGGGGCGGTGAGAGGACTCACCAGAGATGGAGTGGGGAGCAGAGCAGGCAAATTGAAGAGGTACACTGCTGAGGGGAGCAGCGAGCGAGATAGGAGAGGTCTGCTGCCCATGTGGGTCACCTCCGGGGCCAGGGGAAGTGGCTGCGGTTGGCTTGCAGTGCTGCACCCAAGCCCGCTGTGCCACCAGGGAGAGCCTTAAGTTCCAGTTTTAATGACCTTTTGTGTCTTTTCCAGATCAATGGCTTCAAGTGAGGGAAACAACTTTCTATTTACACCCTCGGAGCTGATGTGTGAGGTTGTGTCCAAAACCCAGACTCCTTGGTGTTCCCTGTGACCACTGTCATGTGGATGACAGTGACAGATGGAGCAGAGAAAGCCAGAGAGCAGATTCAGAGAGGCAACCAGACCCTAAGTGTGCACAGGCGTTACGGGGCCTTGCCTCCCCTCTCTTCCAGGCAGTTGTTTCTCCCCACAGACAAGCATCCCATGAACGGCTTCCAGAGATTGGCTGAGGTTTACCAGAGAGAGAACAGGCCTGTGCTGATTCTAGCTGGACTTTACTGTTTTCTTGTGTGTCACTCTGGGACAAGTTATCTGACCTTTCTGAACTTCATAGACTAAGCAGATGCATGTTCTGGTTGTGGGGAAGATGCACTAAGTACCGAGACCTCATAGCACGTGAGCTCCATGCCTTTGCCCTCTACAGCTTTGGTGCCCTGGCTTGAGTGACACCTTGAGTATATTAACTACATGTTTGGGCAGTATTTCACACTCTTGTCCTTCACCTCTATTCCATATGAACTGTAAGCACCTGGTGGGCAGGACCAAGTACAGGGAACCCTTGCTTTTCTTAGTTTATTAGCAATTATGTAATTCTATAGAATACAAGCACAAGAGTTCATTAACCAGAAATAGAAAGCTTAATGCATATGATTTAGTCCATCAATGGATAATTATATAGAAAGCGAGACCATGTTTTTAAAAATTAGTCATCCAGTTGGTTCATGATATAATATTATTTGAAAAGGGAGGGATATATAATTGTCTGTTTTACGTGTTGCCAATACTACAATGTATATGAGCCAAGAAGAAAAAGACTTGGAAGGATATTCATCGGAACACTTGCAATGGTCCTATCATCATGGTTTGACTTATTTTTTCTTGTTCCTGTGTTCAAATCATCTACAACAAGCGTATATTACTTGATTATCAGAGGAAAGAAAAGACTAGTAATTTTTTTCTTATGCAAGAGAGAGAGGCTATCCCATTATAAAATAAATTTCCTGAGGATGCTGCAAACGCTGCTTTAGGAAAATCGATCCTGTTAGCCTTGTTCTCTCTGTGTGCCACCCTGTACGGTGCCAGTGTGGCTGTGTTATCCTGCTGCATTAAATGTTCACCTCAAGGTTAAAGAGAAATGGAGAGAGAAATAATTCCCTGCAGGGTCTGGGCAACTTGTTTATAAATCCCTTGTCAAGTGCTCTTGAGATTTCAACGCCCTAACCGGGGCTTCCCTTCTTCGTTCCATTATCAGGTAAGTAGCAAGCCTTGATCGCTGCACACTCGTGGCAATTCCAGAAAATACGTAGCAAGTGGCAGAAAGGTGGATGCTAGGACCCCAGTCCCAGACCAGAGAAGGCCCCGAACACCTGGCCTGTGGTGACCAGCCGCCAGCGAGGCTAACTGACTGGTTTACAGTCAAGTGCTGTGGCACTGTCTCTCTCAAGCTCTTGACCTTGGGCAAATGGTTTATGTCCCTTCTGCAAGATGGGGGGTAATAACCTGCAGGGAGATGGCAAAGATTCAACGAGATCATGTTGGCCATGTTCCTAACCTAACTCACAGATTTCTAGTAGTGGTTTGGTAAAAGGAGACAAATTTTGGCCTGGAGCACCCAGGGTTAAAACTCACCTCACCATTTATGAGCTGTGACAGTGATGTTAATTAAGCTGCTTAATTGGTCTTCACATCTGCAAAATGGAGCTGCCATGTCTAACTGTGCTTTTGGGGAGTAGCAAACATGGGTGTGACTGACAGTAACTACCAGAGACCAGGCAGGCAAAGTGGGTGCTTGAATTGGGTTGGGTGTGACGAGTTAGACAGCATCTAAATAGGCTGGTGTGATATGGCACCAGCCCCCTGTGGCCATGGAGGGATTCAGAAATGTGAGCGAGCCTCTGGTCAGCTCTAAGTTTTTTTTTTTTTTTTTTTTTAAAGATTTATTTATTTATACAGAGGTGCAGGGACGGCGAGAGGCTTCACCAGAGACAGAGTGAGGAGCAGAACAGGCAGATCCACGAAGTACACTGCTGAGGGGAGCAGCAGGCGGGTCAGGAGAGGTCTGCCACGCCATGTGGTCTCCTCCGGGGCGGGCGGGAATCGAACTCATGAGGAAGTGGCTTTAGCTTTTCAGTGCTGTGCTTTAACCCGCTGCGCCACCAGGGAGGGCCCAGCTCTAAGTTTTTAAGAAAAGTAAGGAATTTCAGTCTTTATAAGAAACCAGTTCTTAAATATTGGCAAATACAGACTTTTCTGGCAATGCCCGGGAGACAACCAGTGGGTTTGCGTTTGACTCATACCCTGTGTAAGGAACTGTGCTGAGTCAGAGTACACTTGGTTCTTGCTCAATTATATACTTCTCTTTGTAACCTTGGACAAGTTTTTGACCTCTCTGAGCTTCATGTGCAAAGCAGATCACCTCCTGGTTGTGTGGGAGCAACGGTGAGACATGAGAGGTCTGGCAGCCATGTGGGTCAGCTCCCTGGTGAGGGATCGAACTTGTGCTGCAGTGGCTTATGGTAGCTTCATAATGCAGTGCTTTAGCCCTTTGCGCCACCAGGGGGAGCCCCAGGTCGGGCTTTTAAAGATGAATTGTCTTGGTGATACAAGAAGGCGGGGGCAGCATTCTCAGAGGGAAGACATGCAAAGGCTCATGGGACATGAACACTCCCTGCGGGTAAAGAACCAGCTGTGAGCTTAGCCCTGACCGGTGGGGAGCTGCTTGTTGAATATGTTTGCTTCAAAGACCACGGCCAACTGCCCCTCTGCCCGTGGCGTGGGCCCGTGCTTCTGGGCCTTGAAGTTGGACTGCTTGGCGGGATAATCTAGAGTTCAGTCTCAGTTCCATGATGGCAAGTTATATTTCTCCTCTCGGGATGCTGGCTCTCGGCAGAAGTCAGCCATCACTCACGAGCACCCCACGGAGAGGCTCTAAGAAGCGGCAACAGCTCTGGCCAGCACTGAGTTCACCACCCTGCTTGCCCAGCCCGCTGACCGGGTGGCTTATGGGCGAGCTGGGTAGGGGGCTATGCTCTGGACCCCTCTCCCCCACAATGGACCAGGCCCAGGAAGCTGACCACTTGGGCCCAGCTTTCTTTCCTAGGTTCTTCCCTCGTCTCCATCCTAACCCCCCAGTCCTTGGAGGTAGATCCCAGAGGTAGCCCCTCAAATCACTCCCCCAATAAAGCACGTGTCCCCAAATCCTGGGGACCTGCACTTAGCTTCTTTTTTTCAAAGCCAGAATGTCCAGAATTTGCTGAGGTGATATATTAAAATTTCCTGGCACACCGTACACATTCATTTAATCCTAACAGACTCCTCCATACCTACCTCGTGCACAAAGGAGGAACATAAGGGAAAAAGTTCTTGAAATACAGTCCTGAAGTGAGTTTTCCGTACGTTCAGTGTACCAAATCTTGTAGAAAAAGGACCAACTAGGCATTTATTTATTTATTTTTTAAACAGGCATATGAATGCCTCTTTGGTGGAATCGAGAGGGGGTAAATGAAATTTTATCCGTGGGTCTTAAAGAGAGTCCCTGGGGGAGGGGGAGGGGGAAATGAGCGCCCAGCCGTGGGACCACCACCCTGTGGTAGCCCGAGCAGAAAAGAACCAGAACACTCTTCCCCCTCACCCCACTGCCCCTCGTTCATATAACAGAAAGGGGGGGACATGTGGGTTCTTATGAGCTGGCCACTCACAGGCAACTGTGACCTATTTGCAATCCACAAATCACAGCAGAACATCCCTCGACCCACTGTGGAGTAGAACCTCTATCACGAGGCTGCCCGGGAGGCCGAGGCAGCTGCTGACCCGATCCCGAGACTATCTCCCGCTCTCTCCCACCCTCCCAACCTTATTCCTCATGCCATTGTCTTGTGATCAGCTTTTGCCAGCCTATGTGACTTCAATCAAACTTCTGCTCCAGCAGCAGTCTCGCCTTGCAAACCTGCTCCACCACTGCTGTGTCCCTCATGGCGTTCCTGCCCCAAAGCCGCAGAGAGTTCTAGAAAACACATCACAGTGTGACGCTCCCCCTCCACTGGACTCTGGGCAGTAAATCCAAGCTCCGAACATGTCATCGCTGTGAGCAGGCTTCCCTCTGTGTTTATAAATAGCCAGACTCATGTGCTTTGGTCATTAACACAGTTTATTATTGGCACACTTATCAGGAAAGCATACATAAAATACAGCTGTTTTATAACACACGGAGCCACTGTGTCTTTACATGTGTGGAGAAACATATTAATATGCAAATGGAAAATTAGTTGGTTTTCTTTTTTATAAAGTTTCACATAAATACGCTGGAATTGTCCCAAAGAAAAGTCCCCATAAGAGAACCAGGTGACGGCTTTACAAAATATTATACAAGGAATATACTATGAAAAGAAATAATAGCCAACTCAGATACAATAAAAAAACACAAAAAGTTTCAGATTTATGAAACTGCCCACAAAATTAATGGATAACATGGCTTGAAAATATTTGGATCAACAGCAATTTTTACAAACGCATCAATTCTCAAGGGGCCAAGTCTCTTTCTTTACACAAAAGTCTGCATTGGTGTCTTTGATGACACAAGCACATTTCTTGTTTCAGCGCTCTCTGGGCCTCGCCCAACCCACTGGGGCTTTAGAGCCAACTCCTGGGCTGCCAGAAGGTTGCCTGACCAGGCCGCTGAGCTGTTACCCAATGCAAAAAGAAAAAAGATGAAGAAAAAATATATAGATAAGTACATTTAAATGACTTTCCAAAAGCGGATTTTTTTTCTTTTCTTTTTTTACTGAAACAAGAAACTCTCAGATGCAAGTCAAAAAGCAGAAAATATTATACAATATTAAAAAGTCATCTGCAGTTCGGTCCGGCCAAGGACTGCGATCCCGAGCACCGAGGACTTGCGGACTCTATGGCCTTCCTTGGGTGCAGGCAAAAGAGATTCAACGCAAACACGTCTTTCACCCCGGCTGGGAGAAGCATGAGCGCCACGGGGTGTCATGACCACCAGAGCCAGTCATCAGCAAAGGCCTCCAAGGAAGGGCATGGAGTCCATTTGGAAAGAGCCTCTCCATGAAAAAGCAAACACCAAAATGAAAGAAAGAACTCAGGTCATGTGGTTTCGAAACAGAGATTTGCTGGAGACGTCTGGATGTCCCCTTCTTCCTCGCCTGTCAAAAGCGCTGGAGCAGTGAGCGACCCCGACCTCCGGACAGCGGAGGCACTGTGGATTCTTACTGGGAGGCCTGGGGCGGGGGGTTCTCTGATTTGGTCTCTTGGGTGGCGGGAGGCTTACTGTTCCACGGGCTGCTGTTCCCCAGGGCGGGTGAATTGTTGAAGTCTTCGTCGTCGTCCATGCCGTTGGCTGCATCGTATTGCGTGTTTTCTAATCTAGTGATTAGCCTTTCGTCCTCGTCCCCAAACTCACCTCCCATCAGAGTTGGCTCTCCTACCACCATCACATCCTGTGAACAGCAGCTGACATTATTACAGGGAAACCTTGGGAGAGAGAAGCTCAGCGTAAAACAATCGTGGGAGGAGCTGGGGGGGTCTGGGACAGGCGCGCTCCTGTCCTGTACACGGGGTCAAGTCTCAGGGTCGGGCCGAGACGCATATTTGATTTCTACAGGGAATAAACATCGCCTCCTGCCGTGGAACAACCACGCGAGCTTATGTCCTTAGTGTGCAGCCTGACACCGGAGAACGAGCAATGCTAGCAATCTGCAGAAATAAAAAAATGGATTTTTCAAAATTAAAAAAATCCACGCTTTTAACTTGCCGACATCGGGGACTTTAGAAAGGACGAGTGGAACCTTCTTCGGGGTGCTTTGCAATACCACTTTTTATCTTTAGGGCCTCTGGGTGGCTTTGGAAACGACCAAAGCCTGGGTGGGGTGCAGTTCTGCAAGATTCACGCGACTCATTCCCAACGGCACTTTCTCTGTCCCAAGGATGGCATACATTTTAATTGAAGACAGAATCTCTCTTTTCTCTACTTAGCCAGGCCCTTTTATGCAGCCAATATCCTTGACATTCTGCTACTTAATTATGGTAATTAATTTAGGTAAAGTTTTCGATAAAAACAATGTTCACACTGATTTGACAATTTGCATAGCTAATTAAGTCATTAGCAAAAACCTGCTGATTGCCAACAAGCCCTGAATTTACCATCTGTTATTTCATGGTGCCTGTCACCTATCCCCACACAGGCAACCCTGCCACCCATCTGGGCAGTAAAGAGAACCCGTCTGTCCAGCTGGTGCGGCAAAAGGAAGATGAAGAGCGCTAATGATAATTACACCGATGAAGCTGGGAGCATCCGAAATGGAAGCGTGCAAGAAGAACCCACCTAATCACTCCTTTCAGCACAAACTGTCCTTCCATGCAAACAAAGATGCCACCTACGGTAGCGGGGCGCACCCGGGGGGCCACGTACAGGGAGGCACAGAGGAAGGGCAGAAAGGCAGCCCCAGCTTCAGCCCCTTCCTTCCCAGGGGACCCTCGGAGGGTCTGGATCTGGGCACCGGCAGGAACCCAGGGGAGGGGTTATTGTTGGGCCAGCGCGGAGAAGCAGGACATTTAAATGACCCTAGGAGAGTGAGAGTCCCCAGGGGTCACAGAAGGTGGGGCTGAGCCAGAAGCGTTCAGAGATGTGAGTGCGAGTGTCGCGAGAAGGAGGCAGCTCCGTGACAAGCCTTGACCACTGGACATGAGCTCTCTTCTCGGGGACAAGAGGGCTTTCCGGGGGTGGTGTGTGGAGGACTGTGTGCTCTGGAATGGGCCTTCTAGATCCCTTCTAGAGTTTTGAAGGTGCTAATCGAACACATCCTTTCATTTCTGCCTCGTTTATTTTGGAACGGACATCCTTGTTTCGGTGATCGATTGACTCTCCTAGAGTTATGAGGCGATAATCAATAGGTCCCCAAATCGTGTTCTCTGATGAATCACGCTAATGAATCGATAAAAATGATTTTGGAGAGACGTGCCTAGATGAAGGAAAAGCCTGACATAGGAACTGGGTAAGCTAGCGCCCCAGCTTCAGGCAGGATAATCAGATGTGTATTTCCGAGAACTTGTTTATTATGCAACAAAGAGCCAGATGTGACACTGATGTGTAAAGAGACTCCCAAGACGCTAAAGCGAGATGCAGAATGGAAGATGCCTCTGGGACCCCCAGGATTTCAGATGCCAGAGGGCCCCCAGAGGCGGGAACACTATGGGGTGAGCTGGGGCGGCTGCCATGTGAGCCACGGCGTTCAGGATAAAAAGCGTCACTCAGTTACAGACGATTAGGAGCTGGTGTTCATGGCCAAAGGCGGGGCAGAGGACGGACGGAGGGCCTTCCATGACCGGTGTGGAAACACATGCATATAGTGTCACGCGGCTGGAGCAGGGTCCAGAAGGACCCAACACATGGTTCTACATTAGTATTGTGAGTCCAAAGTCACCGAGACAGGCTGCAAGAGTGGGAGGAGGTCAGCCTCATTGGAAAACGAAGAGAAAACGAAAAAGAAGCCAACTTAAGCGTGATATTAGAAAAAAAGTTCCCAACCATCCAGATGCCTTCATTGTATCAAAAAAAAATAACAGTCATTCAAGAGACTGCGGATGAAAACAGTGATTTGAACCATTGTACATGGGGCCGATGCAGGCTTGTAATATGTTGGGCGTATCTTTTTTCTAGCAACAGCTGGAAAAGATGCCTGGGTGTAGTATTTTTATGCATCCTAAATTTCAGCAAAGATGATGCCACATTTGTCCTACTGCTTATCCAAAATGTCTGTCACCAGATACATGATCATGTGTGGCCGTGTGTGTTTAACTCTGTGTGCACGACTGATTAAGCAATGGCAACTGTGCAGAGCATGTGCTAAGACTTCACGTGCACACACACGCTTGCAATTCCTTGCACAATTACGCATGTCTCCACCCTGTTCTTCTGAATGCTACACCAGAGGGCGGCTGCTCTGGCGGACCCAAACCGTCACCCTCCTTGTGTACACGGAAGGAGGTGTAACACATGTATGTGGGACTATGTCTAACTAGAGGCTGCTGACACACTTTCCCCACCCCTCCCCCAAGTGTGAACCTCCCGCCCCCCCACCCCCAGACATTCCACATTGGCAGTGAGAGTGCTTTGTCCCTATCTCAGGAGGCTCGGCTGGTCCATGTGCATGTGAGTCATAAGCCCTCAGCTCCTGATTGCAGGTCTGGGATGCCACCAGCTCCTGCCCATGACACATCTCACTAACCCCCGTGCAAGGGCCACCAACCTCTGAGGAGGACTGGAAGTGACTCCTTTCAGGGCCCCTCAATGCTTCTCCTTAAATTGGCCAGAAGGGGTCACTGCTGTTGAATGACACAGGTCTCCATCCCTCCCAGGGTTGAGGCTGCAGTTCGGGAAGGCTCCTAGCCCCTGCTCGTGGGGTGAGAAGCAGAATCCAAGGATTAAACTCTAATCCTCACCACACACGCACATTGCTGCGCTACTAACTAAGCAGACAACAGCTGAGGTCCTAGTGACTCTCCCAGAGCATCCGCACCTGTACACGAGGCAGCCAGGTCAGCATATGGCATTTCTTTTGAAACAGTACCAGAATGTTGGTAATCCAGCAGGCAGGTTCAAAGACACATTCACTGCAAGTCAGCGATGCTTATCCATTATGTCCACTCAAACAGAGGACACACAGAAATGTGCACATTTTTCTAACCTGGTTGCCTTTGCTGCCTGTCTTGTCCATCTGCAAATTCACTTAATTAAAACATCTTCAACTACACAGTATGGGGGGACAGCTGAAATTCTCTCATTTTCTAATTGTAGCTTGTTCTCACAAAGTCCAAATGGCCTCAGCTCATTAAAAACTCTCTTGACACAAGTATCTTCTGCTAAAATGCAGCTCTTGGACTGGAGTGGAAAAAAAAAATATTTGGGCTCTTTAAAATAAAATGGAAAATAATATAAGTAGCCAACATGTATGCAAAAGTCTGCTATTTCTCCAGCCTTGGCAGACATCACTAGTGGATGGCCCATTCTGTTGAGTTCCCAGAATCCTTTTCAACACTGTAAACTGACAAGTCTATCAGGGGAAGAAATCATTTTGCCATCTCTGGATTAGACTGTGAGCTCTTCAGGGACAGGATCTGGGTTCTTATTCTTTTTTAAAATTAATCTTGTTATTGCCAGTTCCTGGTACGGTATAGGGCATACAGTCAAAGCTCAGGAAATATTTGTTCAACTAATCCACATTCTTGCAGGGACCTTATGTGGCTAGGTCACAGCTCCAGAATCCTCTGGATCGTATTTTCATCATTTATTAGAGAAAACTAAGGAATGTTAGTTTCGAAAACTCCAGGATGAGATGAATAAGTGGTGACTTGTAGGCCCTTGATGGGTTGATTTATTTACAGCAAGCTATTTCCTCTTTGCATTTTTCAAACTAACCGGAAGAGCACATAGTTTATGGATATCTCAACAAAAAGACTGTTGTATCTTTGCCTTTGATATATTTTTTTTCCTGATTCTTAGGGACAAAGAACACTGTTCCTAACACAGGGACAACAGTGGCAGTGTTGAAGAAATACTGCACTCCAAGTAGACTTATAAAGGTACCTCCCCGTGGCTGGCTACTTCCTTTATGGCATTTTCTTTCTAAATTTGGCAGTGGGGTGAGAACCAGACCCTTTCTCTCCCTATGGAGGGTAAGAGAAGGAGCCCATGGCCCAGGGACCTCAGGTACTGAGGGGTTGGTTTTAGCCAAAGAGAATCCAGCAATGGAAAGTGAGGAAAACGGGTGTGTGCGGACTTGACAGACCTATGTGAAGTACATGGAAAATCCCCTCAAGAGAGGCTTATTCCCACAGGGTGAGAGATGGATCAGAGTAGGAGGAGGGCAGCAGACCCAAAGGGGTGAAAAGTGAGGAGGGGAAACACAAAAATCATATTGGGGGGCAGTTTACAGGAAGTAGGGTGCATTTTGAAGATACAGCTTCTAGAGGATGTCTGTCCAGGCAGCAAGTGTCAGGACTCGAAGGTCAGCAAACCTGTGCCAGGTGATGTGACAAGGGCAGCAGAGAGGGAAACCCACCAGTGATAGTGGGGGGAGGGGCAGGGCCAGGCAGGCTTACAAGAGCACAAGGACTGGGAGCGATGACTGGTCTAATGCAGGGTCTGGGAATCCCAGACAGGAAGAAATTAGGCAGGAGGGACAGACGTGGGAAGAGAGAACAGCAGATGAAGAAAGTTCCTGCAGATTCTTTGGGGATGTCCCTCAGCTGCCCACTGTGGAGTACAAAGAAGCTCCCTCCCCACTGGCCTCTGTCCTTTGTCAAAGTTCAGAAACGAAAGAAAGTGGTGAAGGGTCCTGACCCAGGCTTGCCCTAGTGAAATGGGTCCAGTGAAACCCGCTGAGCTGCATTTACAGTGGCCACCAGTTAATTACCTGAGCCGAAGAAGGAGGGGACACCATGGCAGGGACGCCCAGTCGCATTACATAACAGAGCCTGAGCTCCAGGAGCTGGCCTGGGGGTGGGGGTGGTCTCCAACACACCCGCTGGGGGCCCCTTCCATGGCACCAGGCATGCGGCTAAGTGCTCCTTTAATCAAACCTTAAGTGGCGTAGCTCCTGTCTGACTCTGAAGGCGTTTTAATTTGGCCCCACTGCCGTTCAGACTCTTACTATCCCTTCCAAATGCCCAGTTTGCCGTTTCCCTCCCATCCCCGCCCCACCCCGGCCTCCTCCTCGTCACCCCATCTGCCCAGAATGTATTCACAGCTCCAGGAGACTTTGGCACGGGCCCCAGGAACCGGCAGACAGGCAAAGGCAGGATTTCAGACCTAGAAGGAAAGCGAGACTTACAGGTACCTGACTGGACAGACTCAGGTTTGTGGCCGGGGTCTTCTTCTTGCTGCCGGAGCTGTTGGTCGTGTTCCCAGCACTGCTGTTGCAGGTGCTGCTGGTGGAGTTTTTCCTTTTTCTCCGTTTAGTTGTTGGTTGTCTGGTGGGTTCTGCTGCAGTGGGGAAAATGGGAGGGGAAGATCAGTTCCAGGGAACCATGAGACGTCTGTCCTTGGGGGAAGTTGTTTTTGGCAATCAAAAAATTGCAGATTTTTTCTTTTCTTTTTTTTTTTTATTGCTTTTAACTGTACCCAAAAAAAGCAAACAAGGAGAAATCTGTCGATTTATTTTTAGCACATGTGTAAAATGTTTCCCTTTTGTATACAGACAAAATGACTTGTATTTAAAATTCCTTCTAAAGTTATATCTGTGCCTATAATCTCTTAATATATATTTAGGAGTAAGCTATAAATTATTGCTTTTGTAGTTGAATTAAAAATATTATCACCATGCCAAATTTTGGGAAAATAGTTTTCTGTCTTCTCTTTGAAACAGAGGGAGGGCTTTGGGATTCCCAGATTCCTAGGAGGGCTTTGGGATTCCCAGATTCCTAGGGAGGGTACAAGAGTGAAGCAGTGTATAACAGCAACATCTACTGGCTAAGCAGTGTATTGTAGCCTAGCTCTATTACACCTGAAATGTTCAGTGAAAAGAAAAGGAAATCAGTTCTATCAGCTATGCATGTGAAACTTAAAGATTCACATAAAAATACTCACGATTTGGACTCTGATGTTTAAAGAATGTCAGTAATTTGGCATTTTGAAGCCAACATATTAATGAAGGGAAGCCAAAGTACTTTAAGAAAGGCCTGTTAGAAATAGAGAAAAATACTTTGGACCTGAAGGTGGACACCATCTTAAGGGATGTATAGGAACCCATGGTAACATGTAGCAAGAGGAATATTATTTATTATTTATTTAATATATATATATATATGTACTCATATTTTCATAATAATAATGTTTTCATATCCCTAATGCTTTTTATGTAGTAAAATTTTTATATTCATAACAACTTTATTAATTAGGCACCATTA